GGAGGACTGCTTGAGCCCAAGAGTTCAAGACCAGCTTGGGCAAAATGGCAAGACCCTGTCTCTACAAAAAATAAAAATTAAAAATTAGCTGGGTGTGGTGGTGCATGCCTATGATCCCAGCCACTTAGGAGGCTGAGATGGGAGGATCACTTGAGCTCAGAAAGTTGAGGCTATAGTGAACCGTGTTCATGCCACTGCACTCCAGCCTGGGCAACAGGGTGAGAACTTGTCTCAATAAAATTTTTTTTAAAAAATCCACAAAATTGTGTACAAAACATGTATTGTCAGAAAATAATTAGTAATTTGAGTGCATAATATGCCATGAGTAAGTGTTCCTCAAAGAGAAATTTCCAAGGTTTACTACTGGCATCTTAAATGTTACACACTACGAAAGTCATGCCTTCAATTTTGTTTTTAAAAAACCATTCAATTTTGAGTTAGTTTAGATGCTAGCATATTGAAAATATATTGACTTAAACCTAAGTTTACCACCAAGTTATAATCAGTCAGTTCATGGGAATCACTCAGAACTGTGCCAGGCACACAGAAAGCCACAGTGAACATCAGCTATTAGCATTGTTACCGACCACGAAGCAAAGCAACAAAAAGGAGAAGCTGGTCATGACATACCTGCTTGTAAATCTGGCCTTTCTGCAACTTATGGATTTTATCCCAGAGTAAGACACCTTTCTCATTCATCTTTCGGAAAGGCCTAACAACAGAAACAGGAAACATTATGACACGGAGTAGTACAGGCTGTCCGCTCTATGAAATACCAGTTATTCACTATCACAAGAAGTAGCTCCCTCAAAAACCTAAAAAAAACCCAAAATCAAAACTCCACCATCACATTCCCTGGCCTAATTCAATACATCCCAAACTGTGTGAAGCCCAGTATCCAAAGGTGTTTCATGAAAAAAAGAATTCCTGGGGGCCAGGCGCAGTAGCTCACTCTTGTAAGCCCAGCACTTTGGGAAACCAAGGCAGGTGGATCACCTGAGGTCAGGAGTTCGAGATCAGCCTGGCCAACATGATGAAACCCCATCTCTACTAAAAATACAAAAATTAGCTGAGCAAGGTGGCAGGCACCTGTAATCCCAGCTACTCAACAGGCCGAGGCAGGAGAATCGCTTGAACCCAGGAGGCAGAGGTTGCAGTGAGTGGAGATTGCGCCACTGCACTTCAGCCTAGGCAACAAGAGAGAAACTCCATCTCAAAAACAAACAAAAACAAACAAAAAAAAGCATTCCAGGGTCATATAAATTTGAAAAACACCATGCACTAAATATGTCCCTCTTAAAAAGCTATTGATGGCTCTGAAAAGCCCTGCTATAATCAACTTCCTTTCACCCAGATTTCCCGGATTTATCTGACGATGCAGAAAACCTGTTTATAATGAAAAGTTTACGGAAACTCTGCCTTGGTGCATTTATCTGGCTTCATATCTGAAATTAAGCCACTCTAGATAACAAACCAGAAGACCAGAAGCACTAGTTTATGATGGAAATTGGGAGGGAAGGATAATGCCTCATTCCTCACCCTGACACACTGCTAGCCCAAAGGACCCAGGGTTTGTTTGCCTTAAGGTAAAAATAAGTGTTACCCTAAAAAAAAATAATTTTTTTACCTAATTGTAATACAGAAAAATACAACAAAGAAAAGGTACACGACCCAGAATTCTAGACCCACCTTGTACACTAAACATTTCAGTTTGTCTTTCAGTCTTTTCATGAAATTTATGTTTCTTTCATGACTATAAAATGAGATCACTTTGTGTACACTGACATCCTTTTTTCTCTAATATTTTGAGCAATTTTCCAAGTGATTACATATTCTTAAATACATCATGTTTTACAGGAATACATCATCTTTTTTTTTTTTCCAAATACGTTTTCGTTTTTTTGGTTTTTTTTTTTTTTTGGAGGAGAGGGTCTCACTCTGTTCCCCAGGATGAAGTGTGGTGGCACAATCGCAGCTCACTACAGTCTCGACCTCCTGGGCTCAGGTGACACTCCCACCTCAGTCTCTCAAATAGCTGCCATACCTGGTTTATTTTATTTTTTTGAGAGAGTTTCACTCTGTCGCCCAGGCTGGAGTGCAGTGGTGCAATCTTGGCTCACTGCGATCTCCGCCTCCTGGGCTCAAACGATTCTCCTGCCTCAGTCTACTGAGTAGCTGGGATTACAGGTGCATGTCACCATAACTGGCTAATTTTTGTATTTTTAGTAGAGATGGGATTTCACCATGTTGAACTCCTGACCTCAGGTGATCCGCCCACCTCAGTCTCCCAATGTGCTGGGATTACAGGTGTGACCAGCTAATTTTTTAATTATTTGTAGAGACAAAGTCTCCCTCTGTAACCCAGGGTGGTCTCAAACTCCTGGGCTCAAGTAATTCCCCGGCTTCAGCCTCCCAAAGTGCTGGAATTATAGGTGTGAGCCATGGCACCTGGCCCAAGTACACC